AGAAAGAGAAAAGAAGACGCAGTTTCAGGGGTCCCTCTAAACAACGCAAGCCCATTCCACCGCCTGGACGGGCGGGGGGGGGAGGAAAGAGGCGGATTCGAGCCTGGGAAGGGAGGGGGGGGTCCAAGAAATTGATTCTTGCAAGGAGAAACTTCAGCCAGCTTAAGCTAGCTTTGACGATTCACCCACCAACTAACATGGAACCTGACAGGGGGGTCCTGGAAGACCATGTTCCTCTTAAAGGGACCCATATCCCGTCAGGTTCCACGTTAGTTGGGAGGGTATCTATCTTCGCCTGGTTTCTTGAAGTGCTTCATGGGGCCGAACTCCAGACACTCTTGTGATGTTCGGGTCTCCGAAGTCCACCAGAGGAATCTCGCCGGCCGGGATTCCCAATGGAATCCACTAGAACTCCAAGGAGCCTCTTGGAATATGATATGGCTGTGGGTCAAAGATAGGTGCCCAAAATGGCACCCTGGTAAATGGAAACAATGACTAAAACCTGTGGTCGCCTGGTGGTTTAATTTTGACCCATATATGTTGCCACCAAACAGTTCTGTATTCAAACACCTGTCAGCTTTCCCGAGGAAAACACATGGCAACCTGATTCAGAACTTGTGGCATATGCCGACGTTGCTTTGCGCAACCCTCACAACGGAGCATGGTACATGGATTTCCGAGCTCACAAGCATTGAACCTCTGGATCCAGGCGCAAGCCGCTCTCGACATGCATGCCAGGGTCAGAACTTCCATTGTTTGACAGGCGCTCAGTTGGTTTCCTCGAAGCCTTGATGGCCAGTCACCCAGAATCCCAGAATTGCAGGTGTGTGGCCATGGGTCAAATCCAAATCGTACCCCCCGTGAACATCCCCCTCCCCACTAAAATAGTTTCTAAAATGGGCGGTGAATTCACCGAAAACCCCCCAAAATGGGATCCCAAAACGGTGTTGACAACCACAGCCATGTGTCAACCTAGCGGACCCCCAAGAAGGTCGCCCTTCAAGCCGCCTCCCCCGAAACCTGAAAACACGGCCTCCCGCACGCCTCGGCCAGCATCTTTGGGCACAAGGCGGACAAGACCGAGCTGAGCTGCTGATGGTCCAGGCTGCCCACGCCTCATTCTCGAACTTTTTTGAGCGGTTCCGAGGCGCGCCAGAAAGGCGCGCTTTCAGACCAGTGCGATGTCTGCCGGCTGGAACTTTGGGCCTGGAACCCTCAGTATAGTGAAAAAGCGCAAAGATCTTGGGGCTGGACACAAGGGAGACCTGCTTCTCAAATGGTTTCGTGAGCCGTGCAAAGAACTTGGCCACTGCACAAAGCGGGCAGCTTACTGCACCAAGGTGCGGTGCTGGCACGGTCCCACAAACTGACCGGCATCGGAATCTACCTTTGGAATCTACTGAGGTCCGTGCTCCTATGGGAGCTGAAAATGTCCAAGCGTCTTTGTTTGTTGCGTTCCAAGAGGGGAGATCCGCTCTGAAAAATGTCTGGCGGTCAAGCTACAAGGGGCGGAAGCATACTCCCAGATTTCGGGATGAACTTCGATTGTGGGCCGTCCTGACTGCCTGCGATGTTCTAGTTTCCTGGCAGTTGATGACCATACCTAAAGTTTGGCTGCACACAAGGGGCAAGCCCCAATCTTGTGTTGGTTGTAGCAATCTTGGCCGCATATGCGCTCAGGTGGATGCAAACTGCTTCAGCCTCCGAGCAACGCCTCACGACTCCGAAGGTCACATCGTTCGTCAGCTGGTCGAATAGAGCAAAAGCATCTAACCAGGTCCACGTTCAAGTGGCATCAGAATTACCCTTGAATTCTTTGTCAATGGAAACCACCCCCAGCACGATCTTTGTGAAATGCTTCAAACGTTCACTTGCAGGGAACCAGTGTAAAGGTAGCACAGCCACCCGAGGGCATCCAATGGTGCATTTTCTGACTCGATGCAACAGACACGTTGCATCAAACCCAAAAGCTATACATTGGAAGATCCAGATAGGCACATATGCCAAAGTCCAAGAAAGACCCTGCGTTTGATCGTAATATAATGCTTTAAGACTCTAGCTTTGACATATTTGGCTGTGGGTCAAAAATAGGGTAACCCCAAAATGGAACCCTGCTAAATGGACACTTAGACTAAAACCTGCGGTCCCTTGGTGCTTGAATTTTGACCCATACCCATTTCGGAATACAGCCAAACAAAATTCGGAACGGGAAAGGTTGCAGCCGATTCCGCTGGGCTGCACGAGGCTCAGTCTGGCTACTTCATCGGAGCGCGTTCACGGTTCTCCGCGGTTCGTTCTGAAGACAATCAGATTGTAAACATCAAGGTGAACCGAGGGGAGCATGACAAACTTCAGAAATGTTATGCCCGTCCTTTGCAGTTGTCCTAGAGTCGTTTTAGACCCATCGAACTTTGATTTTTTCCCGGCTTTCTGTTCAGCCGCAAAGGACGCCAGAGCCCCCCAAAGGACCCAAAATCCCGATCTCATCTCTCGGTCCCCGGCGCTTCGTATCTGCAGCCAAGCACAGCTTGCCCACCTCGGCGCAGCTTCAACGGCTTCAACGCCACGGTTTCGGCCCAGCTGCTTTTTTTGCACCGGGGGAAGGGGTTGTGGGAGGCCCCGCCCAATTCCGGCAGATGGACAAATCCGCCAAAGAGCCAAACTCTTCTAGAGACAAGGGGGGGAAGGCCTGGAGCAGTGACCGTGCCCAAGCAATCCCCGGGCATCTTCAAAGTTACCGACGAGACGCCCTGCGTAGGCTCGGTGACCGATGGAAGGAGCGGGTGAGCATGGGATTCCCCTTGAGACAAACCCACCTCCGCTAGTTCGACTGAATACTGGGCTGCTCAAAATGAGGAAATCTAATGAATCTGGATCCATGAGCTGTAGGACATCACCCAGCTTGAGGGAAACCACTACCAGCTGGCATACACTAAGGATTGAGCTCGAACAGCCCGGTAAAATGGGTCATAATAGGTACAAAACGACCATGTAAAAATTAAAGGGACAAATCACTGGTTGTCTCCAGCAGTAACTGCGATCCCCCGCACAACTCCACTTTTCTGTCCAAGATCCATCAAACAAGAAGGGAAGGTGCAGTAGGCAGAGCCAAGCTGTGGTATCTCGGACCCCAGACATGATGTGTCAAAAGCATTTGGTACCCACATAAATTCGGCCACCCACTAAACCAACCAAAAACCTAAGAAGCCAAGAAGCTAAGGGGCCGGCTGTTTTACTGTCCCTGTTAAATGGCCCCCCCCACCAAACCAGCTAAAAACCTCAGAAGCTCATGGGCCGGCGGTTTTGGTGTCCCCTCGACCCGCACGGGTTGCCTCAAACTTCGGCCACACCCAACCCTTCGAGTCAGGCCGAGCCGCATCCTGGCCGCGGCGCCGCGCCTCCCGTGCCAGCACTCGCAGCACCCGCTTCGCCGCCTCCGCCACACACGGCGGCCGGTTTGAAAGCGGGGCAAAGTTTCGGGCGCCGCATGCGGGCGGTGCCGAGGCTTGGGATGAGGCAAAATCTTGGTGGGCCCCAGCAAACAGTAGAAGTAGGATAAAGGCGATAAGGGCATGACCCTATTAATGGATACGAACCACTGGTAGATACTAGGTGATTGTCTCAGTCCAAGTTGGGAGGACACCACAGCAGCCTAGTGAATCATCAAGGGAAAATCTTGGGTTCTTGGCCGAAACGTTCAGGGGGTGGTGCGGGGGCGGGGGGAGGCACTGAGCGCCCCTGCAGGCACAACTGAGCGGGAGCAGCTCTGAAGCGAATATGGGTCAAAAGCCCAATTGTACTTTGAGTGAACATCCGATTCAATCCCCGCTAAAATAGGTCCTAAAATGGGCGGTGAATTCACCTACCCCAAAATGGTACCATTGGTTTGACCCACAGCCATATCTGAAGAGCTGTGTTCCATCGCACACGGGAACAACCCAGAGGAAAATGGTGCATACCCCACCAGTGGAACCGAAGGGACCCAAGAAACGTGGCTTCTGAGTCAACAGCCTGGCTTTGTTCTTGCTACGCGCCCAAAACCTGGCTGTGTTTTGTTTTACCAAAAAGGTGCCGAGATACTTTCTTGAATCCTCTTGTCTTCTTTTCTGCCGGCAAAGTGAGAGCAATCGACCTACTTGCCCAGTGGCCACAAAGGAAAAGGGCACAACATGGCACAGCTTTGTTTGATCCTTCATGATTGGTTAATCTCAAATGGGTTTTCAGGGTACCCCGTTTGCATTGATTAAGGAACAGCCAACAGGGAACCGCCTTCCACTTTGGGTGTCCCCTACTTCGAGCAACCAAATTCCCGGAACAAATGCTTGACAGTTGGGTGTGTGCTGTTTGACCCTTTCATCCGCGTTGCCATGGAACCCAGAGGGTCCTTTGAGGAAACTTGTCTCCCGCCCAATCAGATTCCATTCTAGACGGGAGGGTGCCCCAACCATAGGTGACCTTTTTGGAGAGCTAGATGGCCCCTCGAAAATGGAACAAAACCCATCTGAAATCAAAAGGACACCTATGTACCTTCGTTCAAAGGCATCCATGATACCATGGAACCCAATCAGAGGGCTGGAGGAAACTTCCGTACCCCCAGCGAACATCCGATTCAATCCCCACTAAAAGGTGGTGAATTCACCGAACACCCCCAAAATGGGATCCCAAAACGGTTTTGACCACCACAGCCATATCTGAAGAACCCCGCTTTCCCTCGTTTTCCAGTGCATACTCCACCTGTGGAACCGAAGAGACCCAAGAAACGCGGCTTCTGAGTCAAAGTCCACAGCCATGTCAGGTGGGAGGCTGCCCATCATTCAGGAAAGCTTTCGGACGCCGATGGTCACAGAAGCCTCCAGGGCGAAGTCCTCCGCGCCGAGGAGCACCTGAACCAGGTCCGGCACCCGCACCTGGGCGCCAAACGCTGGGGCCGACAAAAGCGCCGCCGAAGGAAAGCGAGAAGCCTCGGTTTTGCTTTTTTTTGGGGTTTCCCCTGTAACACAAGGTTCCCCCCCCCCAGAAAAGAAAAACAAATCAAAGAAAGAAAGAAAAACAGAAGAAGCACGACAGCTTCATTTTTTCCACGGGTTCCGCTGAATTCTGCCTAACGGTGGCCTCCAAACAAACGCAAACCCAAATAGGCGTCACGATTTTCGTGTTTTTCTTGCGCTCCAACCGGCCAGCCTGCTTGGCAAGGATCAGGCGTTGGGACCGAGATCGACCGACCAAAGGGATGCTGTTGGCGTTTTTTTCTTGGTTGTTCGAGGGGGAAACCCAGCTTTGGGTTGGAAAAGGACACCGAAGCCGATTTTGGGGGTCCGAGAAAACAACAAGTGGAAAACCACGAGGAAACCAACGAAATGGAAGGTCGGCCCAAGAACCAGAAATAAACGGCAAACTGACAGAGATCTGAAAAAGCTGTCCAACTATCTACCTAAATGATGTGGTTTCCCCACTTCTGTCTATGTATGATTCTGGGCATGTACGTATCTCGCGACGCCCATTTGCAATGCCTGACATGTGTGTCATTGTCAACTTTCCATCATGATTAGAATGTACGTTCGCCCTGTCCGAGCGAAACACGTAGATGCTAGGAACACAACTAGCACTATTTCCAGGTAGCCATGGTCATGGGTCCCGAAAAAGGAAACCCCAACCAAGTGGGTCTTTTTGACCATGGCATAGCCACAGCTTCAGCCGATCCCTGGCTTTCAGACGTATTGGGTCTGTGTCAGCTGATTACTTGCCAACATGAGGTGATCAATCTAGGAACACTTGAGAAAGGGATTTCAAGGAAAACCATAAGGAGAAGGGGCTCTGTTTGAGGAAACGCCCACCAAAAGCCCTCATCAACTGACGGTCCTAGCATCAGACCTAAATCACATCTATGTGTTGGATCTGACTTCCTTTGAGTTGTTTTAGTGATACATCCCCAAAGGGGTGCCAGTGGCGACGACGACGATGATGATTCTGATGCCGATGGCCAAAGGAGAAATCAACCTGGATGCCAAGCAAGACTAGGTCCTCCGGAAGACTATGTGGTCATGGGTCAAAATCCCGTACCCCCAGTGAACATCCCAATCCCCACTAAAGTAGACTAAAATGGGTGGTGCACCGAAAACCCCCAAAATGGGATCCCATTGGTTTTGACAACCACAGCCTCGTGTTTTCAGCAATCCCGCTTTCTTGGTTGACGTTGGAAAGGGAGCAAAAAACAATAAATTTTGGCAGGTAAGTGGGGATTTCCCACCAAACCACAATAAGCAAGAATGTAAAATGTTTCCCAACAACAACCATTTTGGCTTCTCTCCGTCCTTGCCTTGCCGGATTCGCCCAATGCGAGCGTCTGGGCCGCCCTGGCCACCACGCGCGTGGGCGAATCAGAGGCGCGCACCTGGCACGCAGAGCGCGCAGAGCCGGGTGTTGGCCACTCCGTGTCACAAAGATCCGAGAAATGAACGTTTAAGATGAAACCACTGCGGTGAAAACTCGAATAGAAGCTGGAACAGGTCCAAGATTTGAGACCTCAGCCTTATGCGTGTGAAAGGTGCCTTTCGGCAAATCCAAGACGGCTGAAAGTAACGAAACATTTTGAGGCATCCCCCGGCCTGTGCTGAGCTTTTGAAAGGTAACGAGGACATCAACCACATTTGGACACATGGCCCTTTCTAGCAAGTGAGAAGGCCGGAGTGATTGGCCTTTGCCGTCAGAATTGCACGTTCATGGCGTGGATCTGCCCGCATGTCTGTGCATGTTTATATATATATATATATATGTATATATATATATATAAATTGATGAGTGCCGCCAAGAATCGAAACAGGCATACTGTCATGCTGACTTTGTGTGACTTTATGTTCAGTCCGACTACCTGAAATATCGGTATTCCCAGAGTGGATCGCGCTTCTTTCAGAGGCGTCAATTTTTGGGTGGTCTCGTGGCATGCCTCTTGGAACATCAGAGCAAACATCTGGTGAGCTGGTTCTGCCAAAGAACTCGGTACCCAAATCAGCACCGAAGCCCGCTGACCTTGGGTTCCACGGTTCTACTCGGCTGGGTATCACGATTTGTACAGGGCCTCATGGCAACCTTTGTGAAACCAGGTGGAACGAGTGGCCAGTTGGGGCGTTGGGGCCTCTTCACTGCAAATCGGAGATCAACTCACAGGCCGTGTCTTGGCCCAAGGTCCGCGGGTTCCCGCCCGCTCGCCACGTGGCTAAGGCCATGTCTCTAAGATGCTTGCCACTACCTCAAACCACTACCCACAAGTAAAGATACATAAAGACAGGAAATGCCACCATTCCAGCCATGACATGTTTTGTTCGCGAAATTTGCCACGTTCGCACTAGGTTGGTGGCCGTGGCAGCCATCTTGGAGTCTCAATCGCGGAACATATTCAGCTCAGTATGTCAGGCACAATGGATTCTAATTGACATGAGCCCCGGACAAAACGCCTTGTTTCCCCAAGAGAACATGGACAATTGGGTTGTTCCTTGGGGTTGTGGGAATTTTGGCTTGTTTCCCATTTCCTCCCCAACCAACTGTAGACTACCAAAACCACAATTTTGTCAGTTGCTCACATGATTCTTCACTTTAGGACTACCTCCGGGTCAGAGCATTTTGCATGATGATTCATTGTTTCAACAACAACGGCATCGCGCAAAACAAACTTGGGCAAAACAGGCGATGCGTTTCAACGACCTAGGTGACATGGCATTGGTACGAGTCGCATTGGTGATTGGTTGATGCCCCATTGTCTTGCCGTCTCGTCGATTGATTTCCAACCCGAACATGCCGTATGCGTTGCATCCATTTTCTGAAGAGCACGAGAAAGAATGTGGATACAGCTGAAACTATGGATGCTGTGATGCTGTTTGCAATGGCAACAGTCCCAGGTGGTAATATATGTAGTCCAATTCTGCAAGCAGCTGCAAGCACGCGCTGCTTGGCTCTGCCAAGATGCCTTTACATGTTGTACGCGCGCTTCGTCTCAAAATGATGGGACCCCAAAATGGATGGTTTCAGTTGGTTCCCTTAATGAAGCCCACCCGGGGCCCCACTTGGGGTTACCCTATTTGGAGACAAACATTTCTCGGCCTTCACCCTTCCTTCAAATAATTTCTCTCTGTAGCCACCTGAGGATTAAGCGTCACCTTGTTCATCTCCAGAAGTCAAAAGCTTCAGCGCTGATTCGCGATTCTTAGATTGGGGAGGAACCCCTGGATGCAATGGAAACCAAGACGAACTTCCCCCCTCACCCTTTTTTCACCCCGCTCGCATGCTCAAATCCAAACCAAACAAGAAACTTGCTTGTGGGGGGGGCACCTGATTTCTGGGACAAATGTCCAGAAGCCCCTGCCTGGAGCTGGCTGAAGATGTCCGAAGCGCCCTGGCCTCAGCTTCTCGCTGGCGAAAAACTGTTCCGCGCTCCAAAGCCCCGGCAAGCCATCGAGGGTGCTTGGCTTTCAGCCTCCAAAGAACTGGAGCCTGGCTTTCCTAGTGAGATCAGAGTTCGACCTCTCTGGGGACTTTGAAGCCAGGCGCAAAAGCTGAGTGCTTTTGCTGCAAATGTCTGGGCACGAGTTGTTGCCTACATCATGCCATGTGCGGTGAATTCAAGGCAAGCGTCGAACGGACCAATCTCACCCAGCTGAACTCGTGTCCAGCAGCTGCCAAATTCTGGTTTCGATTGGCCAAATACCTGGGACCAGCTGGTACGTGCTTCTATTCTTCCGACTACCCCTACCAGGCTGAGAACATTTGGGGCCACAGCGGGTGAGCCAAGGCGTGCGGACCTCGGCGTGAAGTTCTGAGGCAGCTGGGTGTTTGGAGCATCAACGTCTTGAGGCTTGGGAGATCAAGAAGGTTCTTCCTGCGCCCCCGAATCCCAAGCTTGCGGCGCACGCATTGGGGGAGTGTGAGCTATGCTGTCCTCGCTGCAACTGGATGTTTGCGAATGTTGACCATTGCTCGTGTCACAGTGTCATTGCACGTCTGCAACATCTCACTGGAAACAAACGAGTGCTTGTTTGGTGCTCACTTGTGTGGGTTCTCTGGGTAACCAATCGTGGCAAGTCCGCTGAGAAAGGGTGGATGAAGCACAGTGAATTCACCAACCAGAAACGAAATTGACCACCCCCCCCGCCGAAGAATGGCGCCTTAACCATTTGTGAGGTCGCAAACCAACTCCTTTGTGAGATGGCGACCATTTGCATGTACGTGCTGCGTGTCACAAGGCGTCCTTGAGGTACAAGTTGCTTTTCCGAGTTGCAACTGCAGAACCACACAAGCAAACTGAATGAGAGCCTAAACGCATAGCCCACGAGTGAGTTGTTCTAAGCTGGCTGCCACAGGAGATATAGAACATAATTAGCCTTGTTAAAATATGACAAAAACAGCCGACATCCAGCAAAATTCGACAGACAAAAGCCGACAGACAAAATCCGACAGAATTAGGCATAATCCAACAAACAGTGCCAACCCCAAGCAAAACAAGGATGTTGTTTCAAACAATACAAATGCTACAGAGCAATGTTGAATAAACCCAGTCATTCAAATTTATCAACACATCCTCCAACTTGGCTCATTGGTCATGTTCGATCCGATAAACACTAAGCTCTCACATCTTGCTAACTCGGCGGTGCTTGCAAACCGCCGCAAACTTGCACGTTACCAGAGCTAAGCCCTTGCACGAGGCGGCACAAAGCAAACGGCAACAACTGCTATAATTGTCCAACCTTGTTTCAAGGGTCCCCTCAAAATGGTGGTGTTCCTTTCAGTTGTTCCCTTTCAATCCACCAAAAATCCTGGGTACCAACTCCAAGAACCGCCCAGATGCAAGTGTTCCTTTTCAAAGCACAAAAAACATCCGGGGTAGGAACTCCAAGAACCGACGAGCCGCCCCGACGCATAGGGAGCCCTCCGCATGCCAAGCAGCCCGCGCCAGCAGCCGCGCCACAAAGTCCTCCCACTCCAACTCTGCTCGGGCTCCCCCCAGCAGCGCCTGGCAGCAGAGCAGGCGGGGAAACGATGAAAAAAGCGGAGCGGATCGGAGCTTCTGGGTGACCTAGCTGGTTCGTCAAAACCCATCCAACTAAGGAAGCAGGGAGGGGAAAAACGGACCTTGTTGTTGGTTACCTGGTTGGTTGATGGCATGGAAACCCATCCAAGTAAGGAAGGGCAGTTTTAGATTGTATGGTGAAAAGAGACCTTGATGGTGTCCTGCCACTCCGTGTTGGTTCATGTTCTTGTCGGGCGTTCTGGCCTCAATATCAGCTCTATACTGTTGTCGTCAGTCGCGCGACTTTGGTCCAAAAAGAGAATGCAACCGCGGCTGTTACAAATCTTAGCTACAAATCTAGCAACCAACCCGAACACCGCACCTCTCCGTTGGCCCCAGCTGTCCTCACGTGGGTCGTGTTTTTTGGGGGGAGTACCCTTCTTGAATTGGCGTTAAGCGTTCGGACACCAAAAGACAGCCACCATGTCTTGGCATTTTGGCACGTCCAAGATCTTGCGCATCCAGAGTCCCGTCAGCTCCTTTTCTGCTCAAACCAAGTCGCTGCCTTCGAGCGGGTCGGGCCGCCCATGTCCGCAACTAACTCCAAGCGCAAGGCCCTAAACATCGCTGGGGAAAGGGACCCCAAACACCCCAAACACATATGCGGGGTCCCCACGCAAGCAGTGTCAACATACAACCCGATCTCTAGATTCACTGGTATAACCCGACGCACCTGCAAGGGGTCCCACCCAAAGAAACCTGCGGACCAGCAAAACGCCGCAGCTTGGGCTGGAACCCGTTGCGGCTGGTGGGGCCAACCAAGCAATCAGGCTTGCCTTGTTTGATGTTCTTGGACGTCTGGTGTGTTCACATCAAACACTGGCAGCCAGCCCAGAAGGGCGTTAAAATATTGCCATCCAGCAGGAAAAAATCACAGGAAGCAATCGCAGAAAACCTAAACTGTTCCAAACCAGCGAGGTCCCATCGTCAGAGTCTCCACCTGGCCAAAAGGTTCAACAATGAAGAGCCCTCCATGTCGGACGAACACCAAATGCTCTACCCAAAACAAGTCCTGAGAACCTTTTCTGGAGCACAAATATCTCTCCTGACCATGTGGTTGCATGTCGAAATTCGAAACCCCTCTACGTGCTTGATTGGCCTTTTGGTTCTGGTCAAAACTTGTCAAGACATATGAGCAGCAACTTCTAGTTGTTGCTTCGGCTAATGAAAACAGTTTCCCCGCCATCTCGATCATTTGTAGAACAAAACCAAGTGAGCATGGCTGTTCCTGTATGGTGGTGTACCTGCATGACTGCACGTGCTGCCACGGAAAAGAAAGTAATGGCACCAGTTACCACTCAATTCTAAAACCAAGTGGCTTACGAGAATGTCTCCTCAAAGGAACCCGTGACATTGGCAGCCAGGCGCAAAGGAATCTTATCTGGGCACTCCGAAGCAAAGAAAACAAAGCCAACTTGCAGACTTCATCATTTGCTTTGTGGCTTTCTGCTCACCATTTTGGCTGGCCGTCTTTTCCCCCTACATGGAGACAGGCTAGCCGTCTTCCAAAGTTTGGCTTTAACGACATTCTGATGATCGGATTTTTGAAAGCTGCATTCCAAAAATGTAGCAGGTGGTCATATTCTACCCGTGTCTACCAGGACAAGGCAGGAGGATTCTTGGGTTCCCTTTGTACGGGGTTGCCTTAATTGAAGAACACAAAGGTTTGATCCCTCCTCCTGCGTTGAACCCTTCCATTGGATTTCGGCATCCGACCGCACCCTGCCCAGTCCTCATAAGAACCGCATCTCATGCCGCCGCCGGCTCCGTGCGTGCCAGCCAGGCATTGTACTCCTCCTACGCGGCTGCGCTTTAGGGTACATTGTATCGTTTGGGATGGTTTAGTGCTGAGTTTAGGGCGGGTTTCGGGCTGGTTTAGGGTGTTAAGGTTTCGTAGGTTTTTTTTGGGTGTTTAGGGTGGGTTTGGGATTTCTTCTAGGTTCGTTCAGGGTTGGAATTTGGGTTTGCCCTTTAAGGCTTTCACAATGTCAAACAATGACCCTATGAAAAAGGTGGGAGGCTCCCCCCCCCCCTAAGAGGACAAACACAGGCACCAGAAACGAAAACTGTTGCAGATGACGATGAGGTCCTGGAAAACCAGAAAAGCCTCCAAAAGCCACAAAAACCCAGCAAAGCCCAGCAGAACCCGGAAAAACAAAAACAGCAAGCAATCCTGAAAGCAAGCAACACGAACAATTGCTTTCGGAAATTGTTGTTTTTGTTTGAGGTGCCCTTGTCAACTTTTGAACATGAACGCACAATTCTTGGGGGCGCTTCTGTCCTCCGCCCTGGGCTTCGCCTCCACCTCAAGGCCCAGTGCCAGAGCGACGACGGCCAGGGCCTCGCAACCAACCAATTGGGTCATCCAGGGTTCAAGAGGTCCATCATGAACATGTGGGGGGGGGGGGTTCCCCTTCCGAAACCTGTGGTCATGGCCTGGGGCAAGTGTAGGATGAAAGAATCAATCACCATGTCCACTTTACGGATTGGTCCAAGATACCAAAATGCTGGCCTCTCCTTGGCCACCCATACGACGGCAACCCAAAATGGTCCACAGAAGGCAACACACCACACATCCGCATACGCGGCCATACACGAACAGTAACAACTGTTGCTGCATGTTGACATGAATACACACACACGAACAAACAAATCAAGAAACAAACAACAGAAAACAAAAAACAAACAAGCAAACTTAATAAACAAGAAAAAACGAAGCAAGCAAGCAAGCAAGCAAGCAAGCAAACAAACAAACAGACAAACAGACAAACAGACAAACAGACAAACAATCAAACAAGCAAACAAACACACAAACACACAAACAAACAACCAACCAACCAACCAACCAACCAACCAACAAACAAACAAACAAACAAACAAACAAACAAACAAACACACAAACAAGCAAGCAAGCAAGCAAGCAAGCAAGCAAGCAAGCAAGCAAGCAAGCAAGCAAGCAAGCAAGCAAGCAAGCAAGCAAGCAAGCAAGCAAGCAAGCAAGCAAGCAAGCAAGCAAGCAAGCAAGCAAGCAAGCAAGCAAGCAAGCAAGCAAGCAAGCAAGCAAGCAAGCAAGCCAAGCAAGCAAGCAAGCAAGCAAGCAAGCAAGCAAGCAAGCAAGCAAGCAAGCAAGCAAGCAAAAGCGCACGCACGCACGCTCGCAAGCGAACACACACTCACAGACTGCGTGGATGGGTTGGATGGAAATGAGGGTTTTTTGAACTGCGTGAACGAAGTAGCACCAATGCCTGGGCCTGTGAAAGGGCTTGTGGGGAAAGAAGGCCCCCTGAGCCCCGGCCAAGCTTGCGGGCCCAGGCTAAAAATCGAGGGCGGAGTGCTGCCCCCAAGAAGAATCTACTCCACGCTTACGGCCTCTGGCAGTTCAATTGCGAGGGCGCTGGAATTCTAAGCGGTCTTATCCTCTGTTTTCACCCAAGGGTCTGGCGATTGGCGTTGAAACGGGTGAGAATTCGCTTTGCAGCCTCTGGAAGCTCCGGTTTGGGAGTCCTTGGTCTTGATTGGAAAAATTACACACACACACAGATTCCACCGGCGATTGGCTGGACCAGCTATCCGAGGCGACCTTGAAAGTGGAAGCACTGAGAATGGAAAAGTTCGATGAATTCGCGGCGGAAGCTGCGTTGGATGTCCCACGCAGTCATTTCAGAGGCTGGGAGCTGGAGTTGAGCTGTTGCAGGGCTCAGCTGCAAGCAAGCAAGGTGAGCCCATTTACCGCCTACAAACAGTTGCAGACACTTGCAAAGCGCTCGGACCGCCAGCTTCCAACAAACTCGTACACAGTGAACGCCTCTTGAAGCATGGCCTGTGATTAGCGCAAAGGCCTGTGCACTTCCACGACACGCACGGCTGAAGCTTTGGCTGACTGCGTGAGCCAACTCACAGGCCCCACTCACGGGCCCAAAGCCGCGCAGCTTCTCGAAGACATTCGCAGCTTCCGAAGCTCTGCCGTGGCACAGAGGCTTCTGAGCAAACTGGAGCGAGCGTCTGCTGGATCCGGCTTGTCCCTGACAGGCTGGATCCGGCTCCTCCCTTACGGGCTTCCTACAAGAAGCACGCAGCCAAGTCACCCACTCATGGCTTACTCGAATCGATGAGCTGATGGGGCCAACATGAAGCCGGCAAGGATTTGGCCCTCATGGCTTCTGCTTCTAGCTGCGAAAGCCTAAAGTTTCGAGCCACAAAGGCTTAAACTTAAGATTGCCGGATCAGGCAGGCTCTGAAACATGTGGCTTGAACTAAGTTAGTGAATAGTAGCACATATTTCGTGGGTCAAAACTGCGAACCAAGCATTTTTTGGTGGGAAATATAAGTGTACAGTTTGTGGCTTCCGCTAATGGATTGAGACGGTGGATGTCCAAGTTTGCCAAGTGAAGCAGTGACAACGGCCAATTGATGAGAATCACTAATTTCGCCAAGTTTCACCAAAAGTCACTAGCCTCGTTCAAGTTACAATTACCTTTTAAATTACTGAAGTCTGGGTGGAACGCTATTGCTCGCTAAGTACCACTTCTTCAAATTAGTGAGAATTTTCGTGAACCCTCATTAAAATTAGGCCCTCCGCCTTCCTACATTTCACTAATTTGAATTCGTGATAGTCAAAATTTAGTGAACAACAATGAATTCAGTCAACATTCGCGCAAGTCTAAAAGTCATTGAGTTCATTTTCACAAAAGTTCACTACTAAATCTCAGTAAATTTCACATGACACTGAATGGTTCACCAACTCTTCACAAAACGCTATCTGTGTTAATTTGATTTGCAATTGCCATTTGAAGTTTCAGCTGCTAATGCTCCTCGCGAAAAAAATTACTTTGATGCTTACAATCTCTACATCCCGAACCTTAAGCTTGAGCGACCTCATCTTTTGCGGGACGTCAAACGTGGCTTCACTACTTGACACGGACACCCCCGACTTGAAATGCCAG